TTTTTTTTTTTTTTTTTTTTTTTGAMAAAMAAACAGCTCCATCTATTGGTGGGGAGCAACACCTGCTGGAAACCGGGTCCAGCGTCCCATAGATACAACCATATCCTCTTAATTTGGCACAAACTGGGAACCGGGCCCAGCGTCCCATCATCAGAAAATTTCATGAATTTAGAGAAGGAACTACTAGAAAAATCCAAACAGCAATTAGTGGAAGTCCTTCGAATGCTCAGAACCCCTGGAAGCTCCCCACAAAAAACACTCTAAAATTCTCTAATACTGTCTTCCTCCCTGCCGAGCTCTCCCAGGCCTCATGCCCCCACCTTGCTAGGCTACAGGGCAACACGACTCACCCCAGCTCCGGCCAGCGTCGTCCTGACAGCAACCCTTGGTTTTCCCTTGGAATGCCCGGCCCAAAGCATCCCCAGATCTCTCTACCAGGCCTTACGCTCCTGCTATTAACAGGTTACAGGGCAATCCCCCAGCACCGGCCAGCGTCGTTCTGGCATTGAAAAACCAACAGATCCATGAGTAAACAGCATCAAGGAAACCTAGACTGCTTTGCAAGAAGCACCCAGTCCTAAACAATTCTCAGGACTACCTAAAATATCCAAAAACATCTCGAAACTGGCAAAGAAACCAGGGCCAGATTAAGAATTTTTCTTCTTTTTTTTTTGAGGTGACTATGACGAAATTCAGAATCGACTCAGAACCCCCCCCCATCAAACCTCTACGCCTCCCTCCGGCAAGACTAACTGCAGCAGAGCCACCATCTCTGCTGCTGCTGTGCCATACTCCCGTCCTACCAGCTAGCCCCCTCACTGATAAGACGCATGATATCCCCCCATTTTCTTCTCCCACCCACCCTATTCTCTTCTTATTCTCTTCTTAAGGTACATCAAAACACATTTCAGTAAAAAAGAGCATGAGAATAGGCCGCAAGGGTCCTGCAAATGATCCAAAAAACGTTGAAGCCCCTCACACACCCTTCCGAAGTCTTCCGAAACTGTCTTACTCCCTGCCGAGCTCTTCGAGGTCTTCCACCCCCACATCTAGCTGGGTTACAGGGCAACACGACTCACCCCAGCTCCGGCCAGCGTCAACCCGACAGTAACCCTTGGATGTCCCGTGGAATGCCCACCCCAAAACATCCCCAGATCTCTCTACCAGGCCTCATGCTCCCGCGTTGCAGGTTACAGGGCAACTCCCCAGCACCGGCCCGCGTCGTTCTGGCATCGGACAACCGCAAATCACTCAGTACAACAGCCTCGAAACCACCTCAGGATGAGTTAGCAGGAATCTCAAAATCCTGAAGACCATCCAGGACTACCGAACGACCTAATCTTATTAAGATTTTCGCTATAAACTCTATGAGAACGGGGGGAGCGAAATTAAAACACCTACTATCCTAAAATCCCCCCTCAACAGACGAAGTGTCAGTCCAGGCTTTCAGTCTTCGTACCAGAACTCACTTGATCTCGTACCCCCTCTCTGCTAGGGTAACAGGGGCACCACAACCCTCCCCAGTACTGACCAAACTCGTTCTGACGATCAGGAAGTGTTTTCCTCCCTCGGCAGTTCCTGTAGCGGCAAGCCCCTAACCGGTTACAGGGTCAATACCCCGGCGCCAGCCTCGTTGGACGGTCTAGTTATGCGCTCAGCATAACTTCGCAGGCCTCAAGCTTCCCCCCGGGTTACAGAGCACAAGCTCCAGCACCGGCCTGCGTCGTCCCAGCACCGTCCTTCTAACCTACTTACCCTGACCAACGACCCTCCTCTGTTGAGAACCCCTTTTGCCTTCCATCCCCAATCCCAGCTTCACACCCCTAAGAAACTCCTTCAAAAGCCTAAATCTGGAATTTAAAGGTAATCAAAAACGAATTTCAAGAATTCTATCTGAACCATTTTTTATGATTTTAGAATGAAAAAGAACGACAAATCTGGAAGTTCAATTTAGAATTAGAATTATTCCACATAGAAAATGACTTCGAATGGAAATTGAAACCAAATGAGTGGATCATCTGTGATGTCCAAAAGGACTTTCGACTCAGATTCCTAGAACCCCAAGGTCCCCAAGGTCCCAAGAATCGTTCTGATGGTAAGTCGCGAAACAATCGTAGTCAAGAAAACAATTATACAGAGATAGACTCACGATTATCTAAAATTCCGAATTACAGAAGCTCATAATTAACTCCGGATTAATTCAGGATCAACGAAGGACACCTATCTTGAGGACTTTCAGAAAAAACTGAGGATTAGTTTCGAAAAACACTTCAAGATCAGAGTCAGATGAACCCAAATGCCCAACGATTCCTAGGCATATGACTCCATCAGAACATTCATCATACAAAAACTACTAAGAAGAACAATCGAAGAGCCAATAGACTCAATCTATTGATAGGCATCTCACAAACCAGAGGTATCAACTTATAACCCGCTGCTGACCACACGTGATTGAAATCTAAAACAACTCTAACTCTCCCTTCTTCCTCAACCACCGTCCCTCCACTTACCTCTCTCCCGCCAAACCCTACCCCTGCGCCTATGGGGAAGGAAAGGTTCACATCCTCCCACTGTTAGTTCTAGGCTCAAAGCAATCACTAACACCAAAGGCATAAACGACCATCATCGATTCCTCAGAGAAACGACGACAGTGTGGCTCCCCTCGCCAAACCCGTTGACGAGTTGCCACAGAAGGTTCAACCCACCCTAGTTATATACTTACCATGAACTTACCCTCGGTTGAGGAAGAAGGAAAACGTAGTCACCACTGAAAATCCTTTCAAACACGTTTAATCGCCACCACTGCTTCACTTGATCGCATACATATTGATGCCCCAAACTTGTTCTTCAATGCGATGATACGCCCACAAGGGATACAAGACCCCTCGATCTCATGGTGCGCTCGATAAGCTAGCAGCAGCACTCTCCCTCAAGTACCCAGGCAGTCAGCGGCGCAAATAAAGGCAGTGTGAGCCAAAGCGGGCAATAAGGCAAAACGAGATAAACGAGCCCTCCTTTCCTTGTAGCAGAATAACTGACCCGACGCCGCTGAAGTTGTGATTGTAGAACACTGGAATTGAAAAACAGCATGCTCGTCAGAAGAAGCCGACATGCTTCCGAGGTTCGTATGGCAGCGTGCAGCAAACCCGTTGATGGCAGCGCGCATCTCCTCACCAGCTCCCGCACGACCCAACATACCGCTATGTGATCACTTCCAAAAACATACACGAAGCACCCCAGAACGATGCTAAAAAGCACGCCCTCCTTACTCCCTCCTCGCTCATCCCAGACAAAAGGCAGCCAACATGCCAGCTTCCGCTTCCTTCCTCGCACCGTTCGTCACTATGTGCACACGTGCCATGCCTCTCCGTATAAACGCGCCGAAACGTGCCCGCCTCGCCATTCGCGTTGCATGACCTCCCTATGCCGCCCCACCATCACCACTCCCTTGCGTTGTTCGTCACTGTGAGCGAGCACGCCGCTTCTTCCAGTGTGAACACGCGTTTTCGAAAACAGGGCTCCGGCACGATGGGGCGCAGCGCTCCCGGCAGCGCTGTGCCTCGGGATTATGACAGGCTTGTGGAACTTTTGGGGACCTGCTTTGAAGTAAGGGGTCAGGGGCATCAAATGATTCTTTACAAGGACGGAGAGGGGGAGGAAATAGGGCTGCTCGATGGGTACCGACTAGAGGGGTCTCTTATCAGATGCGATTGGCGTCAGGTAGTTTACGCTGGCTGATGGGTACCGGCTGATGAGAGGGAACTCTGGCGCGATTGGCGTTGGGTAGTGCTAGTTCACCACCTTGATGATGGAGACTGGTATTCTTGTGGGGGCAAAGAATGTCAGGGTGATGATGGTGCTCGACCCCTGCGGAGAAGAGGCTCTCTGAAGTTCTTCACGACGACGGAGTTGGGAAGGACGAAGGTGATTGGGAAGGAGGAAGTTGGTAGTGGAAGCGATTGGCACAAATTTCGGCGGGTACCGGCCACTGGCCGCTAATTTCACCCGGATCAGTCTGCGTTTCTTCCCTTCAATGATGGAGGCAGGATTGTTCTGTGGGGCTATTTTTCCAAAAAGAGGTTGAGTGGGATGAATAGATGGTTGGATATCAAGCGGCCTACCAGTGAGGGGGCTAACTTGTAGGATGGAAATAGGGCACAGCAGCAGTGGAGATGGTGGTTCTGCTGCAGTAAGTCTTGCCGGAGTGAGGTAAAGTGGATATGATGGGGGGGTCTCTGCGTTGTTTTCTGAATATTGCCTATTTTGAAGCTTCTGCAGGAAAAAAGAGAATAAGGTGAGTGGAAAAGATGGTGGGTTATCACACGTCCTACCAGTGAGGGGGCTAGCTGGTAGGATGGGAGTATGGCATAGCAGCAACAGAGATGGTGGCTCTGCTGCAGTTAGTCTTGCCAGAGTGAGGTAAAGTGGATTGATGGGGGATCTTCTGAGTTGTTTCTGAGTTTTGCTTAATCATGAAGTTGTCATAGACATGTCTGAAGTAGCCTTAATTCTCTGAGCCAAAGCCGGGTAATGGCCCCGGTATCTCAGTTTTCAAAATTCCATCCTTAGGCCAATTAGAATTTTCTAGTAGTTTCGTCTCATTTTCATGTAATTTTCTGATGAGTTTTCTGAACGTATTCGTTATAGGACGCTGGGCCCGGTTCCCAGTTTGTGCCAATTTGTGAGGATATGGTTGTATCTATGGGACGCTGGACCCGGTTTCCAGCAGGTGCTGCTCCCCACCAATAGATGGAGCTTAGTTAAAAAAAAAAAAAAAAAAACGGCAACACCTACATCAACAAGATCAACAGAGTCAACACTTGCAACGACAACAACAGCAAATACAGGAATGCATGGTTCCCTCAACAGCGCCCATGATCCACACATGCTTTGTCACGTCAGGGAGAAATGACATTTGATCCCCTGATTCAACCCCCCCCCCACACACACACACGCATACACACCCGACGAAAAACTAGAATGTCCTCAGGGAAGGAAAATATGTTGCGGCTGTCACAAAAACATCCTAGTCAGAATTGCCCGCCCGTCGACTTCCCTGGGTCCGAGCTGCCAGAACCCTCACAAGCTGCGCAAGCACCGCATTTCCACCCACCATCGCGTCAGCCACAACCCCGATCTTTCCTACCATCTCCCCTATCCGGCCACCCACAATCTCGGCTCCTTTCGAGCTTGCACTCGCGAGTGTGCACGTTGCCTGCTCCAACCCCTGGCAGTATGTCGTTGTCGACTCCCGCATAGCAATGGAAAGAGTCTGGGTTGATTCATCAGTCCCGTCTCTCTCTCTCAACCTGCACGACGCACTTCTCTTCGCTCTTGTGCCGCTGTTCGATCCCTCCGACGCATCCCGAGCAGTCTTCCCCCTTTCGGCGCTGCCCGATGAGCTACCTTCACCACCCCCGGTCCTTCCAGATGCTATGATGACGACCAAAATGGAAAGCAAAAACATAACTAACATCACGAACGCAACTGTTGTCAGTGCTGCGAAGGCCATGCAAAGATTAAGCTTGGACGGCCTCTGTTCAACGACAACCACATTTCCCACAGGAAAAGCAGACGTACGCTCGCACACGTTCTGCCACCAACAAGAATGCGACGTGTGGTTGTCAACATCCTCCACCGTTCGGCCCTCATGGGAGTGGATCCAGTTCCCGCTTGACAATGGCGACGTGCAGGCGGCTGGCAATGCAAGCCCTCTGCCGTTGCCTTCCACCACAGCGTCCACTGCTGCACCACGAGTGAGCGGAAAGCGTGGGGTGACAGGCATGAGAGCAGAGCACCACACTCCACAGGGCACCAATGGACCAACTCGTCCCCAAACACCCACCTTTGATAATGTGCCGACACGTGGCAGCAACTCCTGTCTCGCGAGAGATGTGGGGGAGGAGGGCATGGAGAGAGGGCGATGAAGACGAACTGCTTGACGGAACGAAAATGCCCGCCCGCAGGCCTTCCTCCCCTCATCCAAACCCAGCAAGCACCACTTCCTCATCATCGCCACAACATATGAAGTGGATGACCGACCCTCATGAAAGCAATCGGCTGACTGTGCTCTCCGTTTGTCTTCTTCGTAACGGACGTTCACCGCCACAGAACCGTTGCCCGTTCCTTCTTCGTGTACTGCGATGCCCTGGTGCCATCGTTGGCCGTTACGAACACCGGGACACAGTACAACCGATGCCGGTACCGACGAGTACCACGCTTGGGAATCGTGTGACATTTTTTGAAATTGGCGTGGTCCACACCACCGTCCGTCATGGACCAACGGACATCATCGTTTGTCCGCCTACCGTTTGTTCTGTTTGCGACAGAAGGCCTCCGACCACCCTCATCTTCCTGTTTAACCGTCCGCGACGGCCTCGCCGGTGATTTTCAGGGGGACCCTGGGCCACGGCCCATGTAGAAACGGCCCTCCATTCCTTTCCAACCCGACCGAAATGGGCCTGCAGGGTCTCCAAAAACTTTCAAGAACCTTTCCAGGCCTTTGCCGCAAAGCAGTGGGGTCCAACTCTTAGTTACATACATTTGTCTGTGTGCAATTGTGAGTATGCCCTCAAAGAGGGCTGTTCAGTAGATCACGAGCGCTTTTGTCGGAATCAAAAAGAACAAAAAAAAAAAACAAAAAAAAAAAACAAAGCAAAGAAACGAATCTCAAAGAAGACAAAAAAAAGGAACACGAATTTGGCCCTGAAATTAGTTACATACGTTTGTCTGTGTGCAATTGTGAGTATGCCCTCAAAGAGGGCTGTTATATCCCCTGCCTCGCTGGCAGGGGAATCTGAGAGAAACCGAAAACAAACAAAAGCAGAAAAAAAAGACATCCAGAATCTAACTGAAATAGTAGTTAGAAGCATTCCACCACGAACCCCATGTGACCACGACCCCCCCCCCAACTTAGAAAAGTAGTTTTTTTTTTTTTTCGGTTCTTGTCTTTCTACGTCGCAATTCTCACCAACCAGCCGTTCATGTGAACGACCCCCCCCAAATGTGGCGCGTTAACGGGACACGCCCGCGGCCCATAGCTGGGCCAAGGACTGGTGGTTTAAGGGGACATACCCGCGGCCTATAGCTGAACCCCGTAGCAGCCAGCCCAAGTTCAAGACTCCAACGAGGGAACATGTGGGGGCTGCACCCGACCTGCAGGTGGGCAATACTGGCGAGGGGTCAGCCGGTAGCATCAGGACCAAGCTTCTTCGATGGGCCAGTCGCTGTGCCTCCTCTCCGGTCCCCTCGCCCTACGAACATCAGCAGTCCTTGCTCAATGCCGCTTGGGGGCACCAACAACCTATCTCTAGGTGGCGGGCACCAAGCTTGCCCAGGAAGGTACATGAGGCCAATGGGGAGTGAACCCAAGACCTCCTGAATGCTACTTGCGTGCCTTACCAACTGAGCTGGATAGGCCCAGATTGACTGCTTTCACAAAAGTAAGCAAATATGGCGATGTTTCCATGTTCTAGCAGAAGATTCATTCTCACAAAAGAAGGAAGGGGAGTACCAACAAAGAGAGAACTTGGGCTCACAAAAGTGCAAAAACGGTAGAAGGAAGGGGGGGACAAACCAACCGAGGACTGCAGCTCACAAAACGACAAAAACAGTAGACCTCCTGCGGGCCTGCGGCCGCTTTCCACTTGAATCGGGCAGCTACAGGCCTCAACTAGTTTCCACATGCATAAAAGACAAAAAGTATGCCGGCGTATCTTTCCATGTTATAGGGATATATTTCGATGTTGTAGGGGAAGATTCATTCTCACAAACGAAGCAAGGACTGCGGCTCACAAGGACAAAAGCAATAAACACCACAAACAACGTGAAACATGGACAATGCCGGTGTTTTTCAAGATTCAATCCCATTTCCAGTTTAGCAGTGGATTTTCTTGGTTTAACTGTTGACGAGCAGGGCTCGTAAGCTAAACTGGCTGAGGCTGCCAGGATAACTCCGGGTTGAATTGTGAGGTCCCCGGCCTCGTCAAACCTGCAGCGTTTTTATAATAAAAATRATCAAGCTTTCMAAAAAAAAAAAAAAAAAAAAAAAAAAAAAAAATCCCATTTCCCTCTTTCCCTCGCCACTGGACCCTCAACCTGCCCGTGCTCAACCTTCGGTATGATGTTGTACGCGAACAGCCGTTCACATGAGCATCGGGCCCAACCAGACCGCCACTGCCGGCCATTCCCGAACGCCGAAATATCAAGTTGCGGAAACGTCACTGCACCGGCCTCGGGTCCCCAGCAGCCCGAGTTTCGCGTTGGCCTGTTACTCCAGACCCGGGTTTGCTTTTATAAGGATTATATGGATTATGGATGAGGAGGCCCCATGTTTGTGCCTGGAACCCAGGGGTAATAGCGTCCAGCATTCAGAAGAGGTAGGGGGAGTGGGGTTGGAGGGAGGTGGAGGGGGGGTGCAATATTACCTCCAGAGGCCAAATCCTGCGAATAAACTTATAGCTAGAAGGGAGATTAGAGCTATGTTATCAGGTCCTTTGGGACATCTGTTAGAATTGGAATGATATAGAGAAGATTAGCATGATGAAAAGAAGGAAAAAAAAAACTATGTTATTAGTAAAGGGATCTTTGGAGATTCGGGATGGGAAGCTCCAAAAATAGTATGTGTGGACGTGCACGGTCTGCACCTTCTGCGGTGCCCGCATATGTCCTAACTGGTCTAATTTTGACTCTTGCTACCTGTGTGAGCTAGCATCTTCCCCCGAACACAACGCACCCTGAGTATGAATGTTTACAAGCTAGCTTTTCGGTCCCACACAGCCAAAATAGGGTGTGCTGTAGGGGGAAGACGGTAGCTCTGGCCTTCACGTGCTCCTGTACTTTCTTAGCGGGCTATTTTTATCTCTGGCAAACTGAGAGGGCCAACTTTGACCCTCAACCTTCTTGCAATCATGTCCCAATGCACAGGGACCAAAATGAGTTACAGCCCTTGACTTCTGCGACTGGGCTATCATAAGAATCAGGCCTCCACGACAGGGGCCAAAACCAGGTGCAAGCCCTAACTTCGAGGGTTGGGCCCACCATTGTTCGAAACTGGTCATAGCTGCCTGCATCAGGCCGCAATTGGAAGGGGGAAATGCCATGATAAGGTGTTGACAAAAGGGGCCAAAACTAGCCGTAAACCTTAACTCATGGGACTGGCCAACACGCGTACAGAAAAGGCCATAACTGCCAGGGCTTGGCCGCAATCTAAAGAAAAATTACGTTGCCACCAGAACTGGGCCAGCATCTGAAGAGCAAAAAGAACCCATAACTACCAGGACTGGGTCGTCATCCAAGCCGTAGACCCTAACATGGGACTGCATATGCGGATCGGAACTCGAGGTCAAGAACTGAGCGGCCCCACAACGCAGGGACTCGGCCAGACTGTAAGACCATGGAGCAATTGAGGGAGTGTGACGCTCCTCGTGCCCTACACTGCTTTCCTTTCTGAGTGACAGAAGATGGGGAAAGAGGCCCGGAAATTGGCAATGGGTGTGTGCCAGGGATTTTTGGACTTTCGCCAGGGCCAGGACGTGCCAGAGTGGCGATATGGATTCCACCAGAGTCGCGACTTGAAGTAGTGTACTGTGAGAAGGACGAGGAGGAGGGGAGATGGATATCAGTACTTGGAATGCTAGAATTGGAAATAGTAAACATCCTTTGCGTATACGCCCCTAACACAGTGCATGAGCGGCGAGCCTTTTTGGAAAAGCTAGCAACCAAGGTGCACCCCGGTATTCCAGTGATTCTGGTGGGAGATTTCAATGTTGCACCGGATCGGTGGCTGGATCGTTGGAGAATTCCCCCCTCCACCACAAGAACTGCGGAAGAGGATGAACAAATCCTGCAAAACATGTGCAATGACCTCTCCCTTTTTGATTCCTTTCGACGACTATATCCCACAGACCGTACATTTTCATGCATAAGAAATAACGAACAAGCCAGACTATCAAAATCTCGCATTGATTTAATACTGCTATCTGATTCATTGGAAGGGTGTTTGACACAAGCAGCGATCCTCCCACTCAGTCCCTTCTCGGGCCTTGATCATAAAATGCGCATGACTGCTTTGACCTTCCGTAAGAAACCCGACCGAGGGTCGGGCTTTTACAAGCTGAACACATCCTTGCTACGGACTAATTCCTTCTTACAATATCTGCGCCAAGCGTGGTCCTTCTGGCAGGAGCGACGTCCGGAACTCGACTCACATGTTGCATGGTTCAATAATGGCCTCCTTTTTCTAGCCAAAAAAAGTAACGAATATGCCAAACACGTTGCAGCTCAAAGATATCAACAGGAAATCAAAACTATGCACCAACTTCTGGAACTTGAACAGGAGGAAGAGTCGTATGAACAGAATTCCCCTGAATTACAAGAGGGGCGAAATCGTATACAAACCTTAAAAGACAGCCTTTTTAAACAGGCCCGTTACCGTTGGCAAGGAGCGCGAATACGGGCAAAATTATCCAAGTATACAACGAAAGGCACAATGGACGCCCAATTTTTTAGTATCACACAGATTATAACTAAACGTTCTACTATTGAAGCCCTCTATGATCCGGAAGGGAATGGAGAAGGCATTGCCACTTCAACGGCCAGATGTCTTAAAATAGCAAGGGACTTTTCAAGGATCTCTTCTCCTCACACATTCCGCTGAACACGGAAAGAACACATCGAGAAATGATTGAGGACTATCTGAATCCGTTGAGCAAATCCCTTACAGTCTTACAGACACTCAAAAGAGGAGTCTGGAGGGCCCCTTGACCAAACAAGAGATTTGGACGACCCTCATACAAATGGATGAAGAAAAGACTCCCGGAATCGATGGATTTCCCAAAG